GAGAGATGAGGATGGAGGGATGAGGGGGGAGGGAGGAGAGGGCGTGGTAGAATGCCTCGGCTCTTGGCCCGTCTGAGGCTTTGTCCCCAGGACCCCCAGGGGGGGGAGTCGTATCGACGCGGGACCCCCCCTGGGACCCCACCCGGGACTCCCCCCAGGACCCCCCAAGGGACCCCCCGGGACCCCCCCCCCCGGCAGGGAAGGGATCAAAGGGAAGGGGCTTCCCTTCGACTCAATGACAACGTTGCTCGTGAGGGAGCGCAGAGACAGGAGACGACTGGCCCTGGGAAAGGGTGGGCGCAGGGACAGGAGACGACGGAGACGACGACGAACGAACGACGGGAACGGACAAGCCCCTCACACACGCCGACACAGGGTCGGCGGATTTTGCAAGCCTGGTCGGCCATAAGGAAGGATGTCTCTGTGGCCAGCGACTGGACGTCTTGCTATCTTTTGGCGGATCGAGACCCTGGCCAGCGGGATGAACATATCAGCCATGTCTTCGGAACTCTCTAGTTAATAGTCAGACTTGCTCTAGATGTGATGTGTTCTGACCCTCGCGTCAGGTTTCATACTTTTTACGAACAGGTTTCTCCAGCCCTGTGCACTAAATTAGTTTCGGAATTTGATGACCAAATTGTGCGTCTTCACGCTGTGCTTGAACGCCCTTGGCGCGACTCTCTTGATTCCAACGCTTCGCCAGGTTGCTCGATCACGCAAGCTCGAGTGTTTGGATCTTGGCTCGCATTGGAACCCGATCTGGCTCAAGCCTATGCACCAGGAGAGTGGCTTGCCCGGCGCCAGACACAAGCCGTACACTTTGTAAAGGCCTTGGTATGTTCAGTGCGCTCGGCCTGTGGGATGAGACCGAGGAGCAGGAGTGGATTGGCAACGTAGTCGTGTACGTTTTTGCTTCATGACTTCTCGCCGCCGTCCTGATCGTCTTCCTCGTCGTCGTTGTCAAACGCTTTTCGCATTACGCGGCTCGTTTGTATGATCCTTGACAGGTGCCTAGGCTCCAATAAGGACTCTGAAGTTGCTAGGTGGCGAGAGCTTTCCTTAAATGTCGTTTGGATCTCGCTTGGGGAAGAAGCAGTCACTGGGAAATGGTGGCAAAATCAACGGAGCACGTCCCCACCCAAGTTTCGCCATCAGTGCCCGAAACCCAAAGAATGCAACAGGCAACACATGTATGCGTTGTTTTAGGTCCCTGGAGGGATGCCAGGGACATGTTTTGGGCATTCAGGGGGTTTCGGGAGACTTCTTCGAAGATTCGCAGGGGCTTCTTGGGGCCTGTTGGGGCTGTCTTAGACCATCTCTAGACTGTCTTGGGGCCATGTTACTGGGCCCTGCCACCGATTGAATGCCGTTCTAGCCCGTTTGGCGCCCGCAAAGAAGAGAACACCAATGCAGTTGAAATAAACGGTGTTTCATGAACTTGGCCTTCTGGGAGCCTCCCAAGGAGACCCATTCGTCCCTCTCGAGCCCTCTTTGCAGTCCGCTGGGATGTCCTATGCCATTCTGTGGCCATCACTCTCGGCGCCCCTGGAGGCCATCTCGGGGCCATCATGGGGCCTGCTGCCGATCGAACGCTGCGCTTGGGCCGCTCTTTGGCTCTCCTGGAGCCCGAGGGTACTCTCCGTCTGGGTGCTGGCCAGATGACGGAAAGCACGTGCAGCTAGCGACCCGCGAGTTGGAGCAGATCACTTGTGCAGGGGTAAGGGACGGGAGTCGCGTCTGGGGGCCAGTGGTGTGGCGCTTCCTGGTTGGGCCAAGATGCTCCCCCGTTGAGTTATTCGAAGTTGTGCGTGCATCACGTAAGTGTTTGCTCATAGCATCCAGTGGTACCATGACAGCAGCTCCGTGGAATCATCGTTTCGAAACTGTCACCACTGCGAATTGCGATATGGTGAGTAGTCAATCGTACGAATGCGGCGCAGTTGTGCCGCAGAAGGTTCTGAAGACATGATGACGAGGATGCGACCATCCCAATACGATGCTGGTATATTGCCATGCTACGCCACTGCACTGCCACAACCGTGCCGCATCACCATGCGCTTGACACCTGGGACACCTGGCCGGCGAAGTGACGCTGTCAAATCTTTACGTTGTGGATGCCCCCCCTTGCAGAGGAGACTCCTCGGCACGACAAGCCGCTCCAGACTGAACGCGCACACAGCGCTCGTCGGAACCCGGACACGGACGCTGCCTACGAGCGAGCTGCACCGAGCCAGCCCTCGGAGTCTGCGAGCCTGGTCACCGAAGGCTATCGGGAAGAAAGGGATCCTGGAGGGTTGACTCCTTGATTTTTCCGCCGTCTCCCAGCTCCGGGGGGCTGTCCGACCAGCAACGAAGAGATGCGGTGTGTGAAAGTTTGCCCCAGGTATAGCCCTGGGGTCCAAGACTCGCCCTCTTGGCCGCCCCCGATTTGACGAGCACACGGCATGAACATTTGTCTTCGGAAGTCCGCGCAGAGAGACCGTCCGTGGCCCTGGGCGCGCTTTCCGAGCGCCGGCCCGAGAGATCTGCGCGGACCTGCGACCATTTGCAGTGGAGGCCCATGCCAGGAAACGCTCGCAGACGAGACAACCACATAAGCATATGGCGCTCCGCACGGATTTCTTGGTTCCGCGCCTCGTTCCCCCCGGCGGCGCCTCCAGCGCCGCCCTTGGCGCGCTCCGCGCGCCAGGGAGGGTCCAGCGCGTATCCCAGAAATCCGCGCGGAGCGCCAAAAGCTTATGCTCATGTGGCTGTTTCTTCTTCTGAACACCCTGCTTGCCGCCAGGGTGCCCTGGGTTTCTGCGGCTTCGATGGTTCTCTGCGATGGAGAGCGTGGCGTTCCCACACCCAAAACCCATATGGGCGTCCTGGGGCCTCAGTGCTGGGTCTCCTCTGGGAAGGCTCCGCGTGGTCGGGCCTCCACTGCCCGTGCAGCTCCGCCGCCCTGCCGCTCCGGGCCAGGCTGGAACGCCATCCAGACCGTCTGGGAGACCGTCAGCAAGGCCTCGGCGAGCCTCGGCGAGGCCTTCGACCTGGGCGCGGCCGACGAGTCGGCACCGCCCGCGACCTCGCCCGAGGAAGGGGGGGCCAAGCCACACCACCGCACCGCTGCACGGCAGGTCCGCGCCGCGCTGATGCGGCGGAGACCCTTGCGTGGGTCGCCTGCAATCCGATTCACCCTTGTATCCGATGCGATTGGACTCGCCGGCGAAGGTCGCGACCCCTTTCGGTTCGGTCAGACTGAGCGGCGCTGGCCTGGGCCAGCCAGGTTCTGGCGCGGCGATCCGGCTTCGATCGGACTTGCGGACGGTTCGCTGACCATCCGATCCGTTTCCGATGCGATCCGCTTTCCCAGTTCGATTCAGCTCAGGCCTGCCCTGGCGCGGGCCTTCACGGTCGAACGCCGCCAGTTGGCCAGAATCGGCCGACATCGTACGAGCCACCCTATCTGAGAGGCCGCACGCGAACCCTACCCTACCACCCCACGATGTCTAAGGGGGTGGCGGCTATAGGGTTCGCACGTGGCCTCCTACCCATCGGTGGAGGGTTTCTCTGAAGGGCTTAGGCGACCCCTCCTCCTCCTCCTCCTGCTGCTGCTTCGTGCAGCGTGGGCGGGATCCGCTGCAAAAGGGGGGTGGAAGGGGAGGAGGTCGGCGAGCACCCTAAGGCCGCCCCCCCATTGTCTTTTAAATGCTCGACCCCCTGTCCCATGAGGTCCCCCAGAATGTTCTCAGAGTCTGATAGGCTTCACACTGTACTCAGTGTGAATGGGGAGCCTGCCTGTGCCAGGCTGACTGCGTCCGACACCGTTGTGGCTCAAGCGCGCAAAACATCCGGGAGGAAGGGGGCCTCCCGCTTGTTGCCCCGCGCGCCCCCGGGCCTCTAGAGTCCCTCGATCCGCCCGCGAACCTCTTTCACATGGTAGCAGGAGCGTGATGGTTGGGCAGGGACAAGGGCCAACGGGCGCCGCCGAGGGAGGCGAGCAGCCCCTCCCGCCCGACGAGGTGGAGCGTGCTGCCAGAGCAGCACTAGCAGCAGCAGCAGCAGCAGCAGCAGTAGCAGCACCAGCGCCCGAGGCTCCCAGCGGAGACCAAGGGGCGCGAGAGGAGCCGGCAACGGCAGGGAACGGCAGCCGAGGGACAGGCCGCGCGGGAGCTCCCTTGCCGGCAACGACAGCAGAGGAGGCAGACCCCTGGCTGCAGGGGGACCCGTGGAGCGACGCGGCAGGGAACAAGAATGCCGGCTGGTGGAACTCGTGGAGAGAATGGTGGGGCTCAGCCAGCTGGTGGACCAGCTCTCAGGTGAATGAAGACGCAGACCACTGGTGGACCAGCTCACCGGCAGACGAGGGCGAGGTCTGGGTCACCATCCAGAGGCCGCGGCAGCCGCCGCTCCCCCACGCGCTGATGCGCGGAGCGGCCGGGAGCGATCCCGCCACGGCGCAGGAGCCGACCTCAGCGGGCACGTCAAGACCGCGCGAGGCCCCTCCGTCGGCACCTGCGCCGGCGACGCCGCCGGCACGGCCACCCGCGGTGGCGATGGCTCCGGCGCAGCCGACCCAGCCATTCGCAGCAGCAGCGATGGAGCTGACGGTCGGGACGACGCAGGCTCCGCCACCGCCGCGGCCGTGGGCACCCACCGACGGAGGATCGTCGTCTACGTGGCGCCCGTCAGACACGCAGGGCCCACAGCCGTGGGGAGGCTTCGAGCATCTCGAGACCTACGTAGTGGCCCTGCGGCGATGGAGCAGAAGGACGGGCCTGCCGGCCGAGCAGCAGGCGGGCAAGGTCATCGACGGCTTGCCCGTGGACATGCAGGAGAGGCACCTGCACTGCGCGGAGGAGCTCGACGCCCCCGGTGGCATCGAGGTCCTCATCGACTTCCTGAAGAGGTGCCGGGGCGACCAGGACGGCGACGAGGCCAAGGAGAGCTTCAGGCTGGCACTGGAGGGCTCCGAGATGAGAGCGGGGGAGTCGTTCACCCAGTACGTGATGCGCCGGGACCTGCAGGTGAAGTCGGCGAAGAGGCACGGGCTCGAGCTCCCAGAGCAGGTTCAGGTGCAGCAGTTGAGGAGTGGAGCGAACCTGAGCGAACAGAATGCGATCAACCTGCTCTCGATCACCCAGGGCCGTGAGGATTTGGAGTCGATCAAGCAGGGCCTGAAGAAGATGGACGTGAAAAAGAAGAACAGTCAGAAAAAGTCGAGGGTGTACGCGGTCGGACACGACGAGGACGAGGACGACGAGGAGGTGTTCGGCAGCAGCGAGGTCTATTTCGAGCTGGAGGAGGACCTCATCCTGGACACCGAGGACGCGCTGGCCTTCTACGAGGCGATCGCCAACCAGGAGTTGGACGAGGACCAGGCGGCGGCCGCCCTGGCCGCGGTGCTGGACGAGAAGAGGACCAAGGAGGGCCGGCCTCGGAAGTGGGCGGAGTCGCGAGAGCTGAAGAAGGCCATTGCCCGAGACCGCGACTTCTTCGACTCCAAGAGAGCCGGGGGCCGGGCGGCGCCACGCCCGCCGGCGGGCAAGCAGCGCCTCAGCATCGCCCGCCTCAAGGAGAGAACGCGGTGCTCCAACTGCGGTCAGAAGGGGCACTGGCGCAAGGAGTGCGCCAATCCGTACAAGCCGAAGCAGATTGAGCAGCGGCCCAAGAAGGAGCTCGGGGGGAAGTCGCTCTACGTGGCGGCGGACTTGCTGGGCGAGGGCGACGGCGCCCTCCTCGTCGGAGGGCCTCGGATTCGGGAGCTGTTTCGGAACGCGCTGATCGGCGAGCCCTGCGATCGGGGCCAGGTGGGCCACGGACGAGCGCTAGCCGACAAGCCTCTGCGAGGCCAGGTGGGACTTGCGGAGGAACGAGGAGATCCCGATGACGGAGAGCTGGGGCCAGGTGGGCCTCGTTCGAGGTCGGAGGGAGCAGATCCCGACGACAGAGAGCTGGGGCCAGGTGGGCCTCGTTCGAAGTCAGAGGAGGCGATCCTCGGCACGTTCATCCTGGACATCAAAGGCGACGAGCCGGAGGGCATGGTGGACACGGCAGCCGGGCAGGCGCTGGTGGGCGAGAAGCAGCTGAAGGTGTTGCAGGAGAAGTGCTACAAGAAGGGCTGGCGAATCCCGGCGAGGAAGACCGACGGCAACAGCAGCGCCAAGGGGATCGGCGGCCGCTCCAGGGTCGTCGGGGAAGCGATGGTGCCGGTGACCAGTGCGGGGATCCGGTGCCTCATCCTCTTCAGGGTGATCGCGGAGGACGTCCCCCTCCTCCTGCCCGTGCGCTGGATGGAGAGCCTGGGGGCCGTCGTGAACCTGGCCGAGGACAAGATCACGCTGCGCTTCGAGGGGCTCGACCGCACCGTCAAGCTCACGAGGCAGAAGTCCGGCCATCGCACCATGGCGCTGCTGGACGAGAGCCTCCCGGGGGACTTCGACATTCCTGAGGGGGCTCGGCGCGACTGGCCGGGCCTCGAGAATGACACGTTTCGAGTGTACAGGCCTCCCTCCTTCGCCATCCTCCCCTCCTCTACGCCCGAGGCCTCAGGAGAGCCCATATCGGACCCCCATCGAACTCGAAACCCCCGGGACCGTAGAAGGGAAGGGGGGGTCGGCTCGGCAGGATTCCAGGATACCCGACTTAAGGACTCAAGAGGCACTACGGGGAGATCACGAAGTACAAGAGAAGGAGAAGCTGAGGAGGATACAGTTACCAGAGGAGGTGGCACAGGGAGAGGAGGCGGCGGAGAGACCAGGAGGCACCTCTCGGAGCTCACCTCAACCGTCGTCCAGACCCATGGGCTCGAGAGCACGTCCGATTTCCTCGATTCATCTCACGGGCCAAGAGAGCAAGAGCCTCCATCGCGAGAGAGCCATGGCGTCCGGGAGAGCTCGCACGCCAGCAGTGAGGCGAAGCTCCAGTCTGAAGCGAGAGGGGGCCTCGAGGAAGAATTCAGCACCGGGGACTCCCCGGCCGTCAGTCACCTTCTCAGAGCCGATGGACACCAGTTGGGAGAGGCTGCCGGGATCCGACCTGGAGTCCGAGGGGAGCGAGCAGTCATCCCCGCCGCTGCAGGACAGCGCGGCCTCGACCCGTCCCACATCTCCGTCACCGCCCCAGCCGACGTCAGGGCCCCACATCGGCCTCCAGACGAGCTCCCTGAGGAAGGCCTGGAAGCGGATGACGGTCAAGCTGATGCACGTGGCCGACGTGGGACAAGCGACCAAGATGATACAGGAGATGCGCGACGAGGCGACCGGGAAGATGAATGCCCTGGAGTGCCCTCATGCACCCTGGGCCCACTGGGAGTCAGGCAACCAGCACATGCGCTGCGTCAAGTGCCTGAGGTGCTCGAGCATGATCTGGAGGAGTGACCTCGCGCACCGCGAGAAGCAGGCCCAGCAGCTCAAGAAGATCGAGAAGGAGGCCCAGCGGGCGGCGAGGACCAAGCAGCTGGAGACGCCGCCTTGGGAGCCGCCGAAGGTCGAGGGTCGCAGCAAGGAGGGCGTCAAGAGGGCGGCCAGGGCTACTCCAGCGGCGTCGTCCTGTTCGGCCGACACGACGGTAGAGACGAGCAGCTCCGACCTCAACCAGATGATGAAGGCGATCCAGACCAACAGCGAGGTGGTATCGCAGCTGGCGCTGGCGATCCAGCAGCTCGTGCAGAAGGAGACCTGAGGGGCTCAGAGAGCCGAAGGGGGATCAGGGATGGAAACCAAGGGAACTCGGGGATCCAGGACGGTCGGGACCTCCAGGGACCCACTCCAGGAGGATCTTTCTGCGCGGAACCCGGGGAAGGAGGGGGAATCTGGCGAGCAGCCTCTGTCGCACGATCCCGCTGTCTCGGCAAAAGTCACCGAGACAGCAGCTTTAGAGCCTCGGGCATATGGTGGGACACTAGGGAAGGCCGGACGGTCACGCTCGATGAGGTTTCCAGGGCCCGGGGCTGGGAATCCCACCGGCTCGATCCAGAAGAAAAATGCCGCCTAATGGCCCAAGTGGCCTGCTATTTAGTTCGTCGGCCCGACCCGGGCGACCTAGGCGAGTGGCTTTCGGACTGGGTCAGGATCCGCTGCTCAGGAGCGTCAGGAAACACAGTTGGCATCGACTCAAGGGAACCGACCTCGCAGACCCCGAGACAGCCGGCCTCAAGTTCATGTCCCTGTGCGTTAGAGTGGCCGAATACCAGATGGGTCGGGGCCGTGGTTTCCTTCTTGAGCACCCGGAGGGTGCCAGCTCCTGGGAAATGGACTCGGTGCGGGAAATCTTGAATCGGCCGAGTGTCGCGTCGGGGTTTGCCGATCTCTGCCAGTGCGGCTTGTCCGTGAAGGGAGGAGAACCCAACAAGAAACCAACCAGGTTCATGACCAATCGTGCGTCTATTTTGCAGCCCCTCCTGCTCAGGTGCGACGGGAGTCATCAGCATCGTCAGCTCTGTGGCAAGGCCCTCGCGCGAGCGGCCCAGAACTACCCCCCGGGACTTGTCCAGGCCATGTGCGAGGGAATCCTGGAGTCAGCTCGCATCGTCGCCCTCGGGCACCGGGAGGAAACCCTGTGGTCCGGCGTCTGGGAGGATCCCGAGTGGCTGGCCGAGAGGGTGACAGGGGTCCCATCCCCCAGACCAATCGATCGACAGGTTGCATCCTTTCCAGCCCAAGGGGACCTTGGCTCGGACGACGAGCCCGAGGAGGGCGAGGGGGGGGAAGGACTCGGGTCTAGTCAGAGAGCGGGGAGGCAGGCCGGGTCAATCAGTCGAAGTCAGCGCCTGGAGGCTTCCCGGACCCACGTGAACCTGGGCCACCCGTCAAGGGATGCTTTTTTGAAAATGCTGCAGGTTGCCCAGGCCTGGCCCGAAGTTATAGAATACGTCAAGCACGAGTTTCGTTGCGAGCAGTGTGACAGCCACACCCGACCGTCGTGGAGGCGTCGAGCCGCCGTTCCCCGAACCTATCGGTTCAATCGGCTTGTTGCTGTGGACTGTCTGTTCGTTGCGATTCTCAGCACTAAGATGACGGTTCTGAACATGCTCGATCACGGCACGAACTTTCAGCTGCGCCATCTGCTCGGTCCCGGGGAGCCACTGACGTCCGAGAATATCTGGGAGGCTTTTGACAAGAGCTGGATCAGGATCTTTGGCCCCCCCGAGGTCGTCATCAGCGACGGAGGATCAGAATTCCTGGGCGCGTTCGGCCGTGGCTGTGAGCATGCAGGCGCGTTTCAGCACGTCTGCGACGCCACGTCTCCGTGGCAGAACGGCCGGGCGGAGCGACACGGAGGATGGATCAAGAGTGCTCTGACGAAGGCCTCCGACCATGTCCAGCCGACGTCTCATGCCGAGGTCGAGTTGTTGCTCCATGAAACAGTGTCCGCAACAAAAACGATACTACCACCGGTCTGGGTACTCTCCGTACCAGCTAGTCTTCGGAGAGAACCCCAGGCTGCCACGGTCTCTTCTCAGTGACGAGGGAGTGGGCGACATCGGCCTAGAAGACGTCCAAGCCGAGTCCGCCATGCAGGACAGTGCGGCCAGTGCGTTCGCCAGAAAGCATCAGATCCGTGAGCAGGCCAAGAAGGCCTTGATGGCGGCGGACGCCAAGTCGCGTCTCGCCGAGGCCCGGAGATCTCGACCCCATGTCGATCGCGTCTTTCTGCCCGGTCAGTGGGTGTACGTGTGGCGCGAGGTGACGGGGGTGAAAACTCACGCGCTGCAAATCGACCGGTGGGTCGGCCCCGGGGCCGTCGTCTTTCACAAGGGGACCACAGTTTGGATCGCGATGCGAACCAAGCTATGGAAGTGCTCGGTCGAGCAGGTCCGAGAGGCGACGCGTGCCCAGGCGCTCGGGGCCGAACTCGTGGACACCCCGGAGTTTCGGGCCCTTCAAGCTGAAGTTCGCAACCCAGGCAAGAAGGTGGGGGCTCTGGACGTCGAATCCGAGGGTCCCCCCCCCGACGAGGCCTGGGGCGGTCAGGACGCGATCGGGGCCGAAGCAGGAGGACCGGTCACTACTGGCGGAGGAGGCGGAACGGCGTCGGCTCGTCCCGCGGAGCCCGCGGAAGCCTCGGTGGAAGCCAGGTCACCTCTTCAGACTATTCCTGAAAGCAGCGAGGTCGTGAGCTTAGGAGACCAGAGCGAGCTTCCCGAGGACCTGCGCCGAGCTCTGGACGCCCCGCACCCCCCCCGTCCTGCTCCTGACCTGGGTCGATTTGTCAGGACCGAACCCCTCGAGGACAAAGAGGATAAGTTGCATCCCCCTCCCGGCCTGGAGGAACCACCTAGAGCTCGACCCCGAGTAGAGGGCAGTCCCAGCCCGTCTCCCGCTGCCTCTTCCGCCCCCAGTCTGGTCAGGACCATCGACGGCCGTCGAGGCGATTCGAATCCAGGAGCTTCAGTCGAGCCAGAACGGGTCAGGGAGAGGTCTCCGCGAGCTGCCGCCCGACCAGCTGAGGGGTCGACGTCTCGACGCACTCGGCGAGCCGGATCGCCCATGCGCGGGCTGCTCTCTCGCATCCACGTTATTCCCGCGGGTCCCAGGGTGGCGCCGGTGGAGCTCCGAGAGTCGGCCTCCGTGGCCGAGAGGGTTCAGGAGTGGGGGGCCCAGAGGAGTTCGGCGGACGACGCCAGAGGCGATCCCGGCACTTTGATCGAACTGGCTTGCGGAGAGGAGGAGGACCTGATCGAGCTCAGGGAAGAGGACGGGGCTGACGAACAGGACCGGATGCTCCTCCAGGAGTCGGCGACCTGGGGTCCAGGTCCCGGGGACGAAGACTACAGTCCGACATCCTCGTTCGCCGCGGCCGGACCGACTCCAGGCGGGCCCCGGCGGGGCCAAGAGGTCGTCTGGAACAAGCTCAGTCCAGAAGAGCGAGAGGAGTTCAAGAAGGCGGACGCGGCCGAGTGGTCCGCCATGACCGCTACTAAGGCAGAGAGAGTGGTCTCCCCCGCGGAGGCGGCCCTGGTCCGTCGGAGGGATCCATCCAGGATTCTCTCGTCGCGCATGGTCCGTCGGTGGAAGCCGCAGGAAGGCGCGGGGGCCAGCGAGAAGGCAAAGTCACGCTGGTGCGTGAGGGGGTATGCCGATCCCGACGCGGAGTCTCTGCACGTGTACGCTCCGACTCCTCAGGAGGAGGCTGTGTTGGTTGCTTTCCAGCTGATAGCTGGGAAGAAGTGGAGGCTTCAGATAGCGGACTGTAAGAACGCCTTTTGCCAGGCGGACCCCCTCTCCCGCCCCAACGGGAAGATATATGTCGAGCCATGCGATGGCGTTGACGTCCCCCGGGGGGCCCTCCTGGAACTTCTGGCCCCAGTCTACGGCCTGAACGATGCTCCGATTCGCTGGCATCAGACCTTGACCAATCACCTAAAATCCCTGGGGTTTCGGCGCTCCCTTTTGGAACCGTGTCTCTGGATCGCCCACCATGCCTCGGGTAGCCTCAAGGCTCTTGTAGTGATTGAGGTCGACGATCTCATTGTTTCTTGCGAACCCTCATACGAGTGTGAGCTCAAGAAGTTGCTGACCAGCCGTTTCCATTTCGGTAAATGGCAGGTCGGTGAGGCCGAATACGCAGGGAGAAGGATCCGCCAGCAGCCTGATTGGCGCATTCTCGTCGACCAGGAAAAGTATATCCTGGAGCAGGTCCGTCCCATGAGACTCGACAAGGAGCGTGTTAAATGTCCCGAGGAGATGCTCGATGCAGGAGAGCTCCGAGACTATCGCGGCCTAGTGGCGAAGATTCTCTGGGCGGCCCGCCAGTCTCGTCCCGACGTGTCCGGATCCGCCTCGATGCTGAGCGCCGAATGCCCACAGGCCAAGATAGCCTCGGCTCTCATGGCTAACAAGGTAGCTCGCCACCTCCGGTGCACGGCCAGCTCCTGTCTGACGATTTGGTCCTTGGACCTGAGTGCCGTGACCATGGTCACGTGCAGTGATGCGGGGGGCCCCGGGTCCGCTAAAAGAGACGGTGCTCAAGGAGGCTGGCTCGTGATGCTAGGGGACTCCAGGATCAAAGACAATCGTCGCTCTCGTGTTTCGCTCTTGTCTTGGAGAAGCCAGAGGCTCCGTCGAGTCGTCTCGTCCACTTTATCGGCGGAGACGTTGAGTCTTTCCGGGGCTCTCGCCGAGGGACAGTGGTTGTGGCTCGTTTTCCGGGACGCTTTGTATGGAGATGTGAGGGGGCCTGAATTCGGGGGCGGAAAAGCGGGGGGCGATGACTAGGGGGGGGTGGATATCATGGCGTGGGCCATGATATTTCCCCAGATTTCATGGCGCCTCTTCTTATTTCATTACGTCCCTGGCCCCCCCGTCGGGCCGCGCACATGCCGCCGGTCATGATTTGCACCCCCCCCTCTTGGACACCCCCCTCTTTGCCGCCCCCGATGAATGGTGGAACTCAGGGACGTCCTGCCCCTTTGCAGTCGCGCTCGTCGACGAGTGTGCCATCGCCGAGGCTTCCGAGGGCGTCGCCGTAGTCGATGCGAAGTCCCTCTTCGATACGCTGTCCAAGAACTGCGGGGGTGCCAAGGCAGACCGCCGCAACGCCATCGAGATGGCGATCGTCCGGGACTCGATGACAGCCGAGGGGACAGTGGTGAGGTGGGTTCCACACTGCAAGATGCCTGCTGACGCTCTGACCAAGGTCGACCCAGGACGAGGGAATTTTGCTCTGACTGATCTCATGCAGAAGGGGATGCTGGCGCTAACGGACGAGTCTGGATCGCTCGACGAGCGGTCTCTCAACCTGTCGCTGAAATCCCGGACTCGGAATGCATCACGACAGGTTCTACAGAGAGAGTCCCAGCCCACTGAGGCTGGCGAGGACGCAGAGGAGGCTGAGGAGGAGAGAGGAGGAGGGGGGCGCCCCGCCAGGACGCCGAGGAGGTCGCCCTCGCGTCCGCCTGGCCTGCCGGGCCCAGTACCCTCCGACCCGGGCCCGGAACCGATGGGGGGAGAGGGAGGGGGCGTGGTCCGTGGATCTTTGTGGCCTCGCTTCCTTGTCTGCTGCTGTGACGGACCTCATGGGGCACTAAAGTAGGGGGTGCTGTCTTTTAAATACTCGACCCCCTGTCCCATGAGGTCCCCCAGAATGTTCTCAGAGTCTGATAGGCTTCACACTGTACTCAGTGTGAATGGGGAGCCTGCCTGTGCCAGGCTGACTGCGCCCGACACCGTTGTGGCTCAAGCGCGCAAAACATCCGGGAGGAAGGGGGCCTCCCGCTTGTCGCCCCGCGCGCCCCCGGGCCTCTAGAGTCCCTCGATCCGCCCGCGAACCTCTATCACACCATGGCACACACGCACGCACGGCATGCCCGCTTTTTGTGCCAAGAAGATGCTGATGAGAAGCGTCCCGGTGTCCAGTTGGTGTATTGCAACATCGCGTCATGGTCTAAGGTCGCTCAAGATTTTTCGTCTGACCTGTTTGCCCACTCCGATGCCTTCCTGTTTTGTGAGCACCGCCTGCAGCAGAGCGCGTTGCCTCGTGCCAAGAGAGAGAGAGAGAGAGAGAGATCGCCGCGGTGGGCTTGAGGCCGCATCTGCAGGTGGGTGTTCCAACGGGGGGCGATGGGGCGCACAGGGCGTCGGGATTGCGGTGAGCAAGACCTTGTATTCAAGGTAGGAAAAACCACCCGGACCCGACAAATGGCGTTTACGAAATGGCCAGGGGGTGTTTACTAAACAGCCCAGCCCCGTTTGTTTCCTTCTATGGGCGCGGTTACTAAACGACTTCGCGTGTCGGGGTGGTTATCATGGGGGTGGATCCTTTGACCTTTATACATTTTAAGCGTTTCCTGGCTCATACGGGCAATGTTACCGATATTGGTTCGGGTCCAGGATGGATGTTTCTAGAACTGAAAATCCAGAACGCTGTGATAGCTGCTGGGGTCTGTTAGTTTGTTTCGTGCCTGGGATTCGCGGGGGAAAGCCTGTCCATGATGCGGGGGTTCGCCGAGTTCGTTCGTGTTCTTGGGATTCCCTGGATGCTGGTCGGGGGCTTCAATATTGATGTTGAAACTATGTGGCTCTCTGGGTATCCCCAATATGTACATGCTCGGGTGATGGCACCAGTGGGGGTTAACTTCACATGTTCGCAGGGGCCAGGCACTATAATTGACTGTGCGTTGGTTTCCCAGGATCTGGCTCCCTTTGTGCAAGTTGGAGTCTTTGAACCCTCACCACTCAAAGAACACATGTGTCTGTCAGTCCATGCCGCCCGCCGTGTCTAGGTTCAGAATTTACGTCGGCGAGTCTGTCCGCGTGACTTTCAGTATGCCTTGGGCCTGACCTTCCTTGGCGGCGTTTTCTTTTTTTCAGGAGATACGTTCTGGCGACGCAGGGATGAAGACGGAGTGCCCTGTGCAGTTGGCGCACCTCATCTTTCATGTGAAGGCGCAGTTGGATGAACAGGGTTCTGTGCAGTATTCCTTGTGGTCTCGTGCTGCTGGGCGCATGTTCCTCTCTTTTGCTTGTGCTGCTACCGTTGGTGATGCTGAAGGTAAGCGTGGGGGGAGAGGTGCTGCTCTACGTCTGGTCACGTCCACGTCGCTCGTAGGGGAGGTATGGGAACAGCCGATCGGAATCCGATGATCGCGTTCTGGTCGCGTTCCTCCGCTAAGCTGTTTGAGCTTCGCGCTGTTATTCGACGAGGCTCCGCCGAGTGCCGAGTCCAAGGCCTGATCACGGAGATGGTCACTTGGGTTGGCGAGTTCTCGTCCGTCTTGCCTGCTGCTCAGCCTGCCCCCTGGTGGGCCGATCGAGTCACTTATCGGACTTTAGTTGACCCCGAGATGGTGGATCGCCTTGTTGAGATCCCAATTGCGGTTTTGAGGAGCGCCAGGGCTGAAGCTAAGGCGGCCGCCAGGAAGGGCCTGGAGGACTGGCTCGTCCGCGCCATCCCCTATTGGGCTCGAGGGGTCCATTCACGGCTTAAGCGCGACAGTAAGAATACTGATGTTTTTTCAATTCCCCCGAAGGTGTGCAACAGTTGCTTGAAGAGGTGATGGGCCATCGGGCTCACCTGTGGGGTGGTGGTGGGTGGGTGGGTGGGGGGCTTTTGAAAAGGTTTCGCCGGAAGGGGGGCCGCCATGTCTGACCTCCGCGGCGCTGCTTTGGAGGCTGCCCCGGCCCCCCCCCATCGCGGCCCAGGACATTCAGATGCGTGAGTTTTCTCTGCCACTACTGCTGTGGGAGCTGACGGGTGGAAACCCCGAGCGGCCGCTGAACTTCCATCCCGGGCGCTTGGTGCCCCGGCGTCATTATTCGCGTTGTGCTGAGCGAATGGCCTGGCCTGGGCAGACCTTTCTCGGGCTCATTGCTCTGCTCCCAAGTCCCAGGTCGATGAGCGACCTATCTGCAAATGCCCCACCCTGCACCGTCTGTACACCAAGATCGGATAGACGGACATTGATATGTGGACTACCGAACACGTTGCCGTCTGGGACACGGCGGTCAGGGGGTCGTCTGCGCTGAAGGCCACGTTGGCTCGTGAGCTCTGCCATGGGCGCGCGGTCCACGAGGGAGCTGCGTCCGTGGCGCTCCACTGGGGCTTGAAGAAGTTGTTCGATACTGTCTGCCCTCGGTTGCTTATCCGACTGGCCTTGAAGGCCAATTGCCTCCCCATCTGATGTACCTGGGTATGTTGATCCCCGCGTCCCCGCGCATGTTCGAAGTTGATGGCAGTGCGTCGCGCATGTTGCAAACGGGTCGCGGGGTCCTGCCTTGATGTTCCCAGGGCGTGTCCTGGGTGGAGATTTGCGTGCATGAGGCCCTGGGGGCCTGTCAGTATCAAATGAATGGTGAGCTCTCCAGGGTGGTGACCAGGGCCTATGTCGATTACATTGCCCAGAACATCGCTGGCCAGGAGCAGGGGCTCCAGGCGCACCTGCTGCCAGCCGCAGTTCGTTTTGCGCGTGAGATTGAGCGCCCTGGCCTGGCGCTGAGCACCAAGAACGCTCTTGTTTGTTCCTCCCAGGCGGTGGGAGTTCAACTCGCTCCGAGCCTCCAGGCCGCGGGCCTTCCAATGCGCAGCCCGTTGCGCACTCGGGATTTGGTTTCCTGTGCGACGGCTGGAAGCAGGCGGAGGGTCTCTGATATCAAACGGCGGAGGCTTGACGCTCGGTGACGCGCTGGCAAGGGTGCGATGTTGTCACGCATGTCTAAGAAGGTGTCCGAGCTTTTGAAATTTGGCGCGTTGTCGGTTTGGGGCCTGGGGCCGCCGGCTGGCGGGCGCGCCCCCCCCCCCCCCCTCCAGCTGCAAATTGAGAGGGGCCAAGCGGCCAGGTACTCTGGGTGGTGGGGGGGGCCCAGGCTCCTCTTCCACTGCAGTCCTGGCGCTGGTGTCTAGTAGCTCGGGCGCCCCCTTCTCCCGCTTGCGGCGCGATGAATTGCTTAGCTTGGCCGACCTAGGGCGAGGTCTCGGTCCTCGAGGCCGCGTGCGCGTCACGCATGTTTGGGTTGCTGCGGTGGGCCTCTGCCTGGGCATCACCGCTAACTGTCGTTGGCGGCGGGCGCGGGGGCCAGCGATGGCGACTGTGGCCGCCCTTTTTGATTTGGAGTGGGCCCCCATTTCTCCTTGCGAGTGGCAGGGCGAGTTTGGCTTCGCCTTGGCTTTTGCAAACCTGGACTATCGGCGTTGCCTTTGGGGGGCCCTCCTGGTCACTTGTTTCCGTTGGACCTGGGAAAGGGCCGCTGGGCACTACATGGGCGCTGTGGTCCAGGAAGGCGTCGATTTCTCCGCGGCGAGGCGTTTGTTGAAGCTGTTTGGGCGAAGCCTCGATTCTGAACCCCAGGCCATCGTTCGTCGCGTCCTTGCGGGGGGGATTCTGGGGGGGGGCGCTCGCCTGTCTGAGGCTGGGTGCGCCGTCTGCTCGTTGTGTCCCAGGGCCCCAGGTGCGGGCTGCGGCCCGAGACGCCCGTGCGCCGCTTCAGGTAGTGCACGGCCAACCGTGCCCTGGGCGACGCTGCTGTCCAGGCCGCGGGGTCTCTCGCCCCGATTGCGATCGCGGAGAATTCCTCGTCCCATCCCTGTGGCGTCGTGGGCTGATGTCCCTTGACCAGGCCGCGAATGGTCTGCCTGCCTCTCGTCGGCCTGGGCCTTTGGAGCTCTCCAAGAGGCCCTTACTCTGGCGGGGGGGTGTCTGGGGGGACGATGGATCGGGGGGTGGTGAGACGAAGGATTGGAGACTGAGGTGGTGTGGGTGGAGCGCTGTTATGCTTCGTGTCAACGAGGCTGGAGTGGCTGGTGGTATTTGTGGTGAATTTCCGCCGCCCTGTCAGAGCTCCTGGCGTTCTGAGCTCTTCGCCCTGCTGATGGTGCCCGCAGTCATGGAAGGTAATATTCTGGCGTTCTCTGATTACCTTCCCCTGGTGTGGAGCTTTCGGAAAACCCCCGAACCTGTCGTGAGGGGTCAAAGTAGCATGGTGGGCCTGTGGGCTCGAGCGCGGGATCTTCCCGGGACCCGTTCGGGCCAGGTTGATCTCCGCAGGGCGAAATCCCACCCCTCCCAGGCACGAGTCGCTGATGTGCAAGTCTCGAAGGTGGAGCTCATTTTGAATAATGCAGCCGGCCAGTGCGCTGGTGAAGGCGCCCGTAGGGGTCAGTGGGAGAACGGGAAGTCAAAGGTGTCCGCGACGCGGACGCTCTCCAGGAGAGGGTTCTGTTGTGCGTCCTTGCTGTTCAGCGCGAAAGGTTTCTCACCTGCTCTCGCGAGGCCCCCTTCCCCCAAGGTCTCCCGGCTGCCCGTGAGTGGTCCGGCGTCGCCAGTGTTGGGGCGAGGGAGAGGCGGCTGCTGGCCGCGGGTCATGACGCCACTAGTCTCAGCATTATGTTTCGGTGTTCACGGTGCACTCGCTCCTTCTCTCGGAAGGAGCCCTTGTTTCAGTTTGGGCCGAAGGTTTGTGTCACGCTCTCTGAGTTCGGCCAGGTTTCAGGGGGGTGGACTCCCCGGGCGGATATGGGCCCGCGCGACGAGCCGCCCGCGCTGTCCATGGCGGACGCCTAGGCGCGGCGCCCTCCCTCCGGCCACCCCCTCGTCCCTTCTGTCCACGAGTCGCGCGCCCTGACGACCTGCCAGGGCGTGTTGTATTGTCTCGTGTGTGGGTCTTTCGGCGTCGATCGAACTCGTAAATTGTCAGCGGGTTGTGTTCCGCCCGCGGCTAAAGGAAGGGGGGCTTTGTCCCGATTGTCTCGCAGGATCCCTCCCAAGTTTGGTCTCAGTTTACCCATGCGGTGGTGGGTGTGTCGTGCGCACAGGCTTGCTCTTGGTCACCGCATCCTACACAATCGAAATCGCAATCTCCTCCACCTCTTCCTCCTCTTGTCGCCCACGTCCCCGGGGGGAGCCGTGCATGTCCGCGCGGTGCCAGCAGGAGACGCCGGCGCCATCGCAGCGTCGCCGCCCGCCGAGTGCCCTCCTGGCCAGGGTCGGGGGGGCGCGCGCCACGGCCCCGGGGGCCCACGGCATGCTTTTGTCAGGTGATTGCAGACATGAATCAAAGGGGCGTGGATTGTGACAGGTCCCGTTTAGGTGGGAAAGCGCGGATTTCTGCCGCCGGAGAAAGCGGCGCCGGCCGCATTTTGGGGAGGGCGCCTCCCCGGATCCATGGATTTGGCGACCGCGCGCCAAGTCCATGGATCGCTAATCCATGTTTGCGCGCCCCCGATTCTGGCCAGGCTCGGTGTGCCAGGCGGGCCTGAGTTTAAGTCGGGCACGTCCCCCCGCAGGGGGGGGAGTTTTTTTTGTAATGGTCAAAAACAGTCGGGGGACGAAATGTTGACAATGTTCGACTATTTGGGGGCATTTTTTTGGATGCGATTTGATGTTTCGTCCAAAATCCTTCCGTAGATAGACACGCCCGACCGAAGCCTGAATCGGGGAAACGTAATACTCGAGTAAGCCGGAATTCTGGTTTGCCGACGTGTTTTGACAAGCGCGTCCTGGATTTTGACGGTCCAGTTTCAGTGGGATGTTTGCAGCGCGCGTCAAACTGCAGATTGGTTTTCGTCATTTTTATGATGGCCCCGTGTGGCCAACCCGAGTCCCCCGTGCCCGAGACCCCCTTTTGGATAAGCCTCTCCAGAATTGTCCAGAGCGCTCTCGGAGCGTTCTGGAACGTTTGGCGCCCGATGTCCTCCAGATCCGTCGACGTTCAGATGCCCCCGACGTGTTCCGATCCGACGTTGTTCCGATCTTGGCTTCGTCGCATTGCTGTGAGATCCGACCTCGCTGCGGTGGAGGCCCATGCCAAGGAACACCCTGTTTGACTCCACGGTGCCCTGGGTTTCATGGGTTTCGACGGTTTTGCCGTGGAACGCGTGACGCTCGCACGCCAAAAATCAACGGACGCCCTGGGGTTTCAGGGTTGGGTTTCTTGTGCAAGGTTCCTTGTGGACTGGCCTCCATTGTACAGAATGCGACATCGCGAACGATCATTAAGTCGGGCACGTCCCTCTACAGGAGGAATATGCAACAATAGTAAAAAATAGTCGGAGGACGACTTTTGAGGATTTTTTGCACTTTTCGGATCTGTCTGAGGTATTTTTAATTTTTTCTCCAAGCTCTGCCGGTAGAGGGACATGCCCGGCCTAAAACAATCACTGCCGGAGCTTTGGGCTCCGTGCCTTGCGGCACCTCTTGGGCCAGACCGGTCGGTGAGGGCCCCTTGAAGGGTGCGAACGCGGGCGGGAACGCCCAGCGCCATAAGATTTGCACAGCCCTGGTGTCAGGGTGTCTCCCGGCCCAGGGGGGGGGGGTGACGGGAAGGGACTCCCAAGTGAGGAGGAGGAGGAGGAGGAGGAGGAGGAGGAGGAGGAGGAGGAGAGTTCAAGGAATTCGAGGAGGAGGAGGAGTGGAAGGAGGAGGAGGAGGGGAGGAGGAGGAGGAGGAGGAGGAGGAGGCGGAGGGAGGAGGAGGAGGAGGGAGGAGGAGGAGGAGGAGAAGGAGGAGGGGGAGGATACCCAGCCGGCCGCCCCAGGCTCTCCCTGGGGCCGCCTGGCTCACTAGTTTGATCAGCCCCGCCTGGGGCCGTCCTGATCTCGGATCTCGTCGTAGTTTGTCACGGACATCCGGCGTCGTGTTTTTTCTGCGCAGCGTCGCTCCGCAGAGGTCTGGGCCTTTTCCCTGGGACCAGGTTTTCACCCCGAGCCGTTTTTGTTGGCGGTCCCTGGGCCCCGGAGGGGGGCCCCGACTGAGGCCGAAGTTGGCCGAGGAACGTCCGTCGTTTTTGTTCACGACGCGTGGATGTCAGGGTCGTGTATCTTACGAGGCAAATCCTGGAGGCCACTCGCAGCGCGCAGTAGTTCTATCGTCAGGTCCACAGGTTCGCTCCGTCAGGCATGGGCCGACGTCCGCGCGGTGATGCTCTGGCGTGACCCCGACGTGAATCTGGCGTACAAATCCGACCCAGTCCGGCGCGAGCCCGATGCAAATCCGATGTGGATCTGACGTCAGCTGGGTCTCAAGTGGCCGCGCGAGGCCTCCATAATTTTCCTCATGACCATTTGGCATCGCCCGGACATGTACGTTGTTCACGGCGAGACCAGCGCCAGCAAGCCTGGACCATTTGGGAGCATTCTGGACCATCCTTCGAAACCCAAAGCGCACAACATCGAAACATGCACGGATAATGGACGCCCGAGCGATGGCAACATTAATATTATGCCCATCCTCGATCCCCCTCCTCGATCTCCCTCTCCCCCTTCTAAATCCTGCCCCTCATCGATCCTCCCCTTGATCGTCCTTGTCCCCCTCCTCAATCCTCGATCATGCCTTCGTCTTACTTTGTTTCCCAACTGCCCATCCTCGGTCCCCCCATGCTCGACGTCATGAGTGTTTCGTGGTTCTCCCTCGGGAGCTTCCTTCAAAAGCCTCCCTCAGGAGCCTCTCTTAAGGGCCCCTACCGAGAGGCTCCCCCAGGAGCCAGGCGCCTCCTTCAGGAGGCTCCAAAGAGAGCCCCCTCCCAGGAAGCTCATCTAAGAAGCCTCCCTCAGCTGCCTTCTTCAAGAGCCTCCTTCGTGAGCCTCCCTCCCTCCATCAAGAAGCTCTATCAGTGTATGAGATGACGAAGAACATGATGACGATGACAATGACGGTGACGGTGACGATGACGATGACGATACGATGACGATCACGATAACGATGGCGATGACGATGACGATGACGGTGACGATGACGATGATGATGATGATGATGATGATGATGATGATGATGATGATGATGATGATGATGATGATGATGATGATGATGATGATGATGACGATGCAGATGACGATGCTGATGCTGATGATGATGATGATTACGGTGCTGAGGATTATGCTGACGATGACGATGACGATGTCAGTGACGATGATGCTGATGATGATGCTGATGCTGCTGCTGATGATGCTGCTGCTGACGGTGCTAATGATGACGATGCTGATTGTGATGCTGATGCGAATGCTGATGATGCTGATGATGCTGATGCTAATGCTGATGCTGAGGATGATGATGCTGCTGATGATGAATATTGTGATGATGATGATGATGATGATGATGATGATGATGATGATGATGATGATGATGATGATGATGCTGGTGGTGTTGATGATGATGATGATGATGATGCTACTGATTATGCTGATGATGCTGATGCTGAGGATGATGATGCTGATGCTGATGATGGTGACGATGGTGCTGCTGCTGATCATTGATGATGATGCTGATGGTGATGATGATGATGGTGACGATGACGACGATGCTGATGATATTGCTGATGATGCTGCTGCTGATGATGAGTAGGTCTGCTGCTGATGATGATGATGTTGCTGATGATGATGATGGTCTTGGTGTTGGTGGTGATGTTGGTCATAATGATGATGATGCTGCTGCTGATGCTGATGAGATGATTATGGTGGTGGTGGTGATGATGATGCTACTGATGCTAATGATGATGATGATGATGATGATGATGATTATGATGATGCTGATGATGATGATGCTGATGATGATGATGATGATGATGATGGTGATACTGATGATGATGCTGATGATGATGATGATGATGATGCTGATGCTGATGATGAGGATGAGGATGAGGATGAGAACGAGGATGAGGATGAGGATGAGGATGATGATGATGATGATGCTAATGATGATGATGATGATGATGATGATGATGATGATGATGATGATGATGATGATGATGATGATGATGATGATGATGATGATGATGATGATGATGCGATGATGATGATGATGATGATGATGATGATGATGATGATGATGATGATGATGATGATGATGATGATGATGCGGAGGAGGAGGAGGAGGAGGAGGAGGAGGAGGAGGAGGAAGAGAAGGTGGAGGAGGATGGGAAGCAGGAGGAGGAGGAGGAGGAGGAGGAGGAGGAAGAGGAGGAGGAGGAGGCCGAAGGCCCGCAGGTGTTCAGCTCCGCAGGCCTTAGGCCGGAGGTCCAAGGCGGGAGGAGCCCCTCGGAAGCCTGCGGCCCCTCCCGCGAGGAGCCCCGGGCTTCGCGCTGCCGGGCGCTCTCCACGCCCCCGGCGCTGCGCGCGTCCACGCCCCGGGCCGCCAGCGCAGCGCCGTGGACGCCGCGGCGCCCGGCGGGGGCCCTGCCGCAGGAGCGGTCGCCGTCGCCGTCGCAAACGTCCGAAGAAACATGCCTTCCCACATGCAATACGTCGTCAATCCCCCGCGGCGGGTCCGGGCAGTTTGCGAGCAGCTGATCTGCGAGTAGTGGAATGCGCCTGTCCAAGCGGGGCGCGCAGGGCCGGCATGGGCGAAGTCGTCGTCGTCGTCGTCGTCGTCGTCGTCGTCGTCGTCGTCGTCGCGGGGTAGGCCAAGGTGCCCCCCGGCCAGGGGCTCCTTGGTGCAGGCGGGGAGAAACCGGCCTTCGGGGTCGGGGCCCCCGCGCCCGGGGTCACCCGGGCGCCCCTGCCCGGGTGGCTGCCAGGTCCCGTGGCCTCCCCTAGGGCGGCGAGGGAGTTCACTCCCTGCAATCGCCGCCTTGGGACGGGGTCCGTCCCCCCCTTCAATCGGGGGCAACGATAGGAGAGGATAGGCATAGGGGGGATGCATCGCCCCTCCAGCGCCCATTGATTGCCGATAGGGGCCCGATAGCCCCAACCTGCCCAGGAAGGTGCGGATTCACTATCGGGGGCCTATCGCCGATCTATCGGCGATGTATCGCCGATCCCAGGTCGATGCATCCCCGCCTATGCCAGTCCCCCCTATCGATGCCTCTCATTAAAGGGGGGGGACGGACAGCCGATCCCATTCGCATGGAGTTGCGCCGTTCGCATGGAGCTGCGCGGCGTTGTCGTTGGCTGACCGTCGAGCAGTGTCCGCCTGCATTTTGCGCGTCGGTTGACGGTCTGGTTGACCTACAGTTCCTCATGTGGGGGGGTGGGGGCGCTTTTCATGCGTTCACCTTTTTCGGTCCCGGGTCCAAAATCGTTTTTCCCGGGTCCTTCGGGCAAGCGGGAGGCCTGGCCCGTATTGTACCGTGCGCCGCTGGCCCTTTCTCCCCCCCGGGAGCGGAGCAGCTCGTGGCTGGCCTTCCGTTTGCCCTCTGGGTTCTGCTGCCGTTGTGCAGTGAGCGGCGAGGGCTCCGCGGGCGCGCCAGCGGGCGCGACAGCCGCGGGGCGGAGCCCCGACTGGGCTCGTGGCGCAGTTGGCCTCTCGGCAGTTGGCCCCTCGGTACAAAAAGGTCGTCGTCCTCGTCGTCGTCGTTGTCGTCGTCGTCGTCCTTGTCGTTGTCACCGCCGCCGCCGTCGTCGTCGTCGTTGTCGTCGTCGCCCTTTCGGGGCTCAAGAGACGGGGGTCGGTGCAAACGGGGGTCAGTCAGGGCGCTGGAGCTTGCAGGACCCTGCAGGGCCAGGGTTGCGCTGGCCTGGGTTTGGGTGCAGGATCCTGCAGGGATCCTGCAAGGTCCGACCGGCCCTGGTTTGCGTTGACCCGGGTCAGAACATCCCCGACCGTTCCAGGCCTCCCAGGGTGGGCCAGACGGGAGAGTGACCTTTCGCCGGAGGGACCTTTGGTGCGGGCTGGTCATTCTTACCCAGGGTCACTCTTGCGAGTAGTCGACAGATGTCGGAAGGGGCCACGGCGAGGATGAGTCCGTTCCAGAGCGTTCGGGAACGCTCGGGGCGTTCCAGAAAGCTCCAGGAAGGGCGGGGCGCCCGAGACACCCTCCAGAGTTGCCCGATCTCAGAGATTTTCGATTCATCTTCACCCGATTTTATCCCCGTCCTGGCTTCATCTTTAGATTGGGTCCGGATGGGGTCGGAGGATCGCGCCGCATAGCCGATGTATTGCCGATGCAGCTCGATGTGGCGCAAAGGGCCAGTCAGATCGAAATGGAATCCTCGAAGCCTCCCAGGTGGGTATCGATACCACTACCCTTCCCTTTTTTCTTTTTTAAAGGGCCTCCTGGGAGGCCCTCGTCGCCACTTCTGGATTTGCATCGAGACTCTGGTCAGAACGCACACCAGGAGAGGTAAGATCGAAGTGGGGTCCTCTAGGCCTCCCAGACCCCCTGGAGTCATGAACAAATCACGACGCAGGTTTCTCGCTACGTTTCGGCCTACGGGGGCGCTTACCAGGCCTCGGGACAATGAAAAACGATTCAAGATGAAAGACCGGTCCCGTGGTATTGGTCGAGACCTCTTGGGGGTAGACGTTCTGAAAAACTCATGACGTCGGGGTCTGGGGATGACGATGGGGACGGCAGGATGGGGAGGTGTCGGGGACACGTAAGACTCGAGTACGCTGGAACTCAGGTTTGCCGACGCTTTCTGACGAGTGCGTCCTGGATTTTGACGGTCCAGTTTTCGTGGGGTATTTGCAGCGAGAGCTCGCGTCAAATTTCAGACTGGGTCTCGTCATTTTCATGATGGCCCCGTCCGGCCAGCCGTAGTTCCCCGAACCCGAGTCCTGCGTTTCCCCGAGAGGGAGGATCCGTCTGGGCCTCCCCGATGAGATCCGAGCAGGTGGGGCTGGAGGATCGCGCCGCATCGCCGATGCATCGCCGATGCGGCTCGATGTGAAACCCGATCTTCTCCACGCCGTCGGTGCCGATCATCGAGGATAAAAGATCCCCTAACCCTATTAACACGATGAAGACGTGGACTCACTGAGGTCCCCGTCTTCGCCTAATGGATAAGAATTCTGGGCGGTTTGGTTCCATACACCTGCAGAAAAGACCCCCTGTCCCTGCTGTTCCTGGCCCTCCTAACTTAGATCACCTCACAAAGGGTTAGGGGTCCTTTTTTGGTCAATCAGCCGATGCATCATCGACGTCACCGATACATCGCCGATGCATCGCCGATACGTCGGCGATGTCGGAGCCAGTTGGAAAGACGTTCGACCTTGGATCCCTTGTTGAACGCAGCCATGCAGCTTTCGCGCCGAAGACCACTGGAGGCCTGCAAAGACCGCCAGAAACAGCCGAATACCGTCAGACGACCGCCGAAGACCGACGACAGATGTCCGAGGACCGCCGAAGTCCGCCGAAGTCGGCCCAGGAACGGTGGGTATAACAAGGGGTACATGGTCGAACACGTGTAGGCTGGGGGTCTGAAGTGGCCCACCACTGGCTGCGGCCAGTTGGGAGCGGAAGCCAGGTTCGAGGTTACATTCCAGTCGTTGAAAGTAGGTGTCTTTGGATTCCCAGATCCCAATCTACTTCAAGCGCCTTCCTACTTCAAGAACCGATCTGGTTTTGCTGTGTCTTGTTATTCTCTGGGAGGGCCTGAGCCCATTCTACTTTAACCGCCTTCCTGCTTCATGTTACTTCTTCCGACCGACGTGCATGGGTTCGAGACGCTGTTTGGCTTCTTCAGTCTCCAGGGGCGGCTTTCGGGCCCCGCGACTGTCAGAAGCAGTTCCTGAGCGAAAAACTCCACCACATGGACCCCGGGAGGCGTCCATCTGGTCCGAGTTTGAGCGGATTTGGCTCTATCGCCGAGGCTCACGCGCGAACGGGGGTCAGCCAACCCCGTCTGGCCGACTCTGGTTTTGGACTCACGTGGGGCTGATTCCTCTCCTCGGGCGACGGAATCTATACATATCCACTGCTCCCAGGCCAGGCCCATCCTGAACCCAGGAGCTGTGTGTACGCCCTCCTACGCCCTCGTGGCCAAGCCAGGATGGCGTGGCGTATACACCGCTGCTTGGTTCAGGATGGGCCTGGCCAGGGAGGAGAAGGAGGCGGAGGAGGGGGAGGAGGAGGACGAGGAGGAGGAGGAGGAGGAGCAGGAAGAGGAGGAGGAGCAGGAGGAGGGGGAAAAGGAGGAGGAGGAGGAGGAGGAAGGAGGAGGAGGAGGAGGAGGAGGAAGAGGGGCAGTAGTGGATGTGTATAGATTTCGTCGCCCTGTCTCCGCTCTCTGCTGATCTGGGCTTGGGAGCTGCCGAGTGGCCGGCCGGGCTTCGCGACTGGGCCATGGCTGGCCTGGGTTTGTGCTGGCCTGGGCCAGTGTTGAGTCGGGCATGCCCCTCTACAGGGAGAGGATTGAAACATAGCCAACAGGTAATATGAGGACGATCTTTCGACTATGTTTGGCTATTTTCGAAAAATGTTTCGACTGTTCCCAATCAGTGCTTGCACTGAAAGGGTCCTAGCGGATGTTCCCCATCAGTGCTTGCACTGAAGGGGTCTTAGCGGATATTGAAAGAGAAGGCGAATGTTTCACGCCGATTTTGGTGGCAGGCCCTGTTCCCAGGTTCCTGGTTCCGGATTTCTGGGTTCCCAGTTCCAGGGCCGATTTCGGTGGGCGGCGAGGTTCCCAGGTTCTCGTGTTTTTGGTCGATCTTCTTATCGATCGGTCTCAGCATCGATCTCATTTCCGACCTCTATCGATCTCACCATCGATCTCACAATCGATCTCACAGTCGATCTCGCAAGCGATGTCACTAGAGATCGCACGAGCGATCTCGCGATCATCTCCCTATCGATCTCATTTAATCGATTTCACTCTCGGTCTCACGATCGACCTTACAATCGTCAATTATCGATTCCACTATCGATCTCATTATCGATCTCACAATCGATCTCAAGATCCATATGACTAATTTTCAAATCATCCACTGATTGGGATTTTCTCAGGTGTAATTGAAAGATCTGGCGAAAGTTTAGCGCCGATGTTGGTGGCCGGCTGGGTTCCTGGGTTCCATGTTCTGGGTTCCCGGGTTCCTGGTCATTGGTTCAGGGTGGATTTCAGTGGGTTCCGGGTTCCCGGGTTCCCGGTCGGTCTCCTTATCGATCTCTTTATCGATCCCAATTCAAACCATCCATTGATTGGGGTTTTCTTTGGTGTAATTTTTAATCTTGCCTCCAAAACCTGCCTGTAGGAGGACCTGCCCGACCTAAGGCTAGTGCCGTTCTCGACAGGAGGCGGGCGCGAAGGGCCCGTGCGTGCCCGGCGGGCAGCTCCGCCTGATGATCATCGGGCTCGTCGGGGGGGCAGCAGCAAGTCTCGATACTCGTTTTGGGGACCTTCGGGCATACCCTTCCCCTCCCTACCCTTCCATCGTTTTCCCCTTTTTTGGCCTCCTGGGCATTCCTCGTCGCCACCGCTGGATTCGCCTCGAAATCCTGGTCAGAACGCACCCCAGGAGAGGTCCGGGGAGTAGCGGTATCGGTACCTTTTGGTTTCCCCAGAGGGGGTTGTTCGTTTTGGGGACCTTCCTGGGGCTCACCTAACGGATCTGCTCGACTCAGGTTCGATTCATTTTGAACTCGAGTTCGACTCAGATTCGACGCAGCTGCGACGCAGCTTCGACGCAGCTTCGACGCAGCTTCGACGCACGAGTGGAGCGAGTGGCTCCAGGAAGGTCCCCAGAATGAGCATCTGAACAAGCAGAGGAGGTCCGGGTGCCGATCTCGCTGCCCCTGCCTCGTTTTCCCGCCGTCGTGGGCATCCCAGGGAGGCCCTCGTCGCCTCGGCTGGATTCGCCTCGGAAGTCTGCTCGGAGCGCACCCAAGGAGAGGTCCGTGGAGTGGCGGTGTCGGTACCTGTTAGTTTCTCCAGGTAGCCGCCAAGACGTGTTCGCGTCGTGAAGCAAGTGCTCGACGCGGAGATCGCCACGCGTGTATCTTATTTTCCTCCTCGCCTCGCCGAGAATGTTTGTCAGTGAGTGTCCGCAAGGGCTTCGCTCCCTTCCGCAGGCCCCGTCTCTATCACAGTGGGATATATCAGAGTCGCGTCGGTGCGTCTCGGCGCTGCCTTGGCGCATCTGGGAACATCTGGCTCCACAAGGGGGCCAGCGGATCTGGGTGCGTGTCTGTATTGGCGCCCCCAGCTTGGGGTGTTGAAGCCGCCCCCTACCTTTCTGGAATCGTCCATGTGGCTGAGCGTTGTGGCAAAAGCTCTGCCAAGCTATCGGACCATGTGTTCCCCCAGCCGTTGTAGAAACCCTTCGGGGAAAACTTGGGGGAGGATGGCGGGGAAGATCATGAGGAGGAAGGGGCATCTTGGGAGCCCAGCACTCTTGGGGCCTCCTGAGAGCTTCCTGGGAGCCTCTTGGAGGCATCTCCTGGGTCTTGGGGGCCTCCTTGGGCCTCTTGAGGGCCTTTGGCTGCCTTAGGTCATTCCTGGCCCGTGTGACGCTGTCGCAAGCCGTCTTGAGGGCCTCTCTGCGCCGACTCTGGGCCCTCTTGGGTTGTTCCAGGGCCGTCTTGGAGTCCATCTTGGGCGTATTGGAGGCCTCTTGGGCCGTCTTGGGGCCCTCTTGGGGCCGTCTTGGGGCCTCTTGGGTCGTTCTGGGGCCATCTTGGAGGCCTCTGGGGCGATCTTGGGGCGATCTTTCGGGGCTCTTGGGCCGCCTCGGGCAGTCGAGAGGCCGACAAGAAGCAAATGGCAAAATCCTTCAACAACCTAAGGACGATGATGGCCTCTTCGACCTTCCTGGAGGCCCTCTTGGGGGCCTCTTGGACTGTCTTGGAGACCTTTGGAGTCCACTTGGGCCGTCTTGGGCTATCTTCGAGCCATCTTGGGCCGTCTTCATGGCCTCCTGGCCCGTCTGACGCCGTCGGAAGCCGTTTTGTGGGCCTTTCTGGGCCGATTTAGGGCCCTCTTGGGGTGCTCCAGGGCCGTTTTCGAGGCCATCTAGGACCGGGACGGATTTTGCAGGGTGGGTAATCCGTAAGAACACAGAGCCAGGGGGTCCAGGATGCTGGCGGTGTCGGGCGCGGGTGGGGGCGCAGTGGAGGGTCATGGGGCGGATTTTGCAGGGTTCTCTAAGAACACATGGCCAGAGGGTTCAAGATGCTGGCGGCGTCGGGCGCGGTGGGGGGCGCGGTGGGGGGCCCAGGACGGATTTTGCAAGGTGGGTCGTCCCAGAGAACACATGGCCAGAGGGTTCAAGGTGCTGGCGGTGTCGGGCGCGGAGGGGGGCGCGGCGGAGAGTTCCAGGACGGATTATGCAGGGTGGTTGGTCCCTATAAGAACGGTGTCGGGCGCGGTGGGGGGCGCGGTGGGGGCGCGGTGGGGGCGTAGTGAGGGCGGTGGGGGGCCGGTGCGATTTTTGCAGAGTGGGTGGCCGTTAAGAATTTATGCCGAGAGGCCTTAGGAGGCTGGCGGTGTCAGGCGTGGTGCGGGCGTGGTGGGGGCGTGGTGGGGTGTCCCGGTGCGATTTTAGCAGGGTGGGTGGCTTGTAAAAAAAAAAATACCCAAAAGCCTCCAGAGGCTGGCGGTGTCAGGCGTGGTGGGGGCGTGGTGTGGGCGTGGTATGGGCTCCCTGAGCGATTTTTGCAGGGTTGGTGGCCTCTAACAAATCTTATGTCAGATATTTTATGTGTTGAAGCTCATGATGCTGCTGCCTCTGCTGCTGCTGCTGCTGCTGCCGCTGCTGCTGCTGCTGATGATGATGATGATGATGATCATGATGATGAGGATGATGATGATCATGGTGCGCCGCTGCTGCTGAAGATGATGATGATGATGAGGATGGTGATAACACTGTTAATGCTGATGCTGATGATGATGCTGGTTCTGGTTCTGGTGATGGTGATGGTGATGATGTTGACGACGACGATGATGATGATGATGATGATGATGATGATGACGATGATGATGATGATGCTGCTGCTGATGCTGATGATGATGATGGTGGTGATGATGATGGTGACGATGACGACGATGATGATGGTGATGCTGTTGCTGCTGCTGATGATGGTGATGATGATGGTGGTGGTGGTGACGATGATGCTACTGATGTTGATGATGGTGATGATGGTGATGCTGATGCTGCTGATGATGATGCTGCTGCTGATGACGATGATGATGATAATGATAATGCTGATGATGATGCGGCTGATGATGATACTAATGATTGCGATGATGATGATGATGATGATGATGATGATGATGATGCTGATGATGATGATGATGATGCTGATGCTGATGCTGATGCTGATGATGATGTTGATGTTGATGTTGATGATGATGATGATGATGATGATGATGATGAGGATGAGGATGAGGATGAGGATGAGGATGAGGATGAGGATGAGGATGAGGATGAGAGGATGAGGATGAGGATGAGGATGAGAGGATGAGGATGAGGATGAGGATGAGGATGAGGATGAGGATGAGGATGAGGATGAGGATGAGGATGAGGATGAGGATGAGGATGAGGATGATGATGAATGATGATGATGATGATGATGATGATGATGATGATGATGATGATGATGATGATGATGATGATGATGATGATGCTGAATCATGAGGTGGAGGAGGAGGAGGAGGAGGAGGCGGGAGAGGAGGCGGGAGGAGGAGGAGGAGGAGGAGGAGGAGGAGGAGGAGGAGGAGGAGGCAGGAGGAGGAGGAGGAGGCAGGAGGAGGAGGAGGAGGAGGAGGAGGAGGAGGAGGAGGAGGCGGAGGAGAAGGAGGGGTCTTCACGACGCGAACCCGCCGCAGGCGTATCGTTGGTGTCCTCCTCGCCAGGCTCGCGCAGCCGCGCTCCGCCCGCGGCGGGGCCGCGGTGCCCCTGGCCTGCGGGGGCGCTGGCAAGAGCCCCCGCTGGGAGGGCCCAACGCCGCTGCTCTTCGCCGGGCTCACCCCCGAGTACCAGGACCCGCGGACCGTCGGGCGTCGCCCAGTGAGGGGGCTTGACGACTTTCGCCAAATCAAAGGGGACGCAGACAGATCAAGGTAAATCGAGGTACATCGAGGTAATCCTGGGTAATTCCAGAGAAATCCAGGGATCTCCAAGGGCCTTTTGAGCAAGTCGTTGCCGTTCCAGATCGAGTTGAAGGACGGCAGGAGTCGTTAAGCCCTTCACGAGGGGGGGTGAAGGAAGGTGCACCTTCTGTGCCCTGAAGGGCTTCTGAGAAGCCCCGCCGCCTTCTGAGAAGGCCCACCTCCTCTCACTTCCCTCGCCGCCTTCGGCGTTGCAATTTGTCACGCCGAGCATTTTCGCCCGGCTTCAGGCCGCGGGGCAAACACAGATCGGTCCGGCTCGGAACACGCCGCAGAAGGATGGGGTCTGAGGTCCGTATTCGGGCCGCGGGACCATCACATAATGATCCGGCTCGAGACGTGCCGCCAAAAAATTGTGTCTAGGGCCCTGGTCGTGATTTTTCGCGACGTTGCATTTTTTCGCAACGTCGGATTTCCAGGTGGGCACGGAACGGATGGGTACGATCACCGACAGCAGTTCCTGTTCGTTTTGAGCAAGATTCGCTGTCGGTTCCACGACGGGCGCCGTCCATGTGAGACAGAAGGTCGCCTCGCCAACCGCCGCCTCGACAACCGCTGTTGGGCATCGTCCCCGTTTTTGTTGCGTGCCCTTCTCGGGCGTCCAAAGTGGAGGAGGAAGGCAAGCTGGAGTGTCACGGGCGGAACGGTGAGGGTTCGGGGGAGCGTAAGACCCGGGTTTGCCGGGACTCGGGTTCGCCATCGTTTTTTGACGACCGCGACTCGGATTTTGACGAGGAGGAGTTTTGTGGGATGTCTGCAGCGGGAGGCCTCGTCAAAATGCAGGCTCGGCCTCGTCATTTTTTTGACGACCTCGTCGGGGATTTCCGAGTCCCCCGTACCCGGGTCTTACGTCTCCCCGAAGGGTGGAGCTTCAGTCGAAGTAGAAAAAGCCACATAGACATAAACTTTCGGCTCTCCGCGCGGATTTACTGGATCCTCGCCTGGGCCCCCCGGTGGCGCCTCTGGCGCCGCCCCTGGCACGCGGAGCGCGCCAGGGAGGTCCAGCGCGAATCCACGAAATCCGCGCGGAGCGCCAAAAGTTTATGTTTATGTGATTTGTTCGTCTTCTTCGTCTTCTTCTTCTTCTTCTTCTTTTACTCAGCTATACCCATGCATCCAACGTCTTGAACGAAGTCGGGGCGGAGGCCTTCCGCCGTTTTCGGGCCCCTGGGGCGGGGGGCCCTTGCCAGGCTCCGGGACCGTGGGAGGACGGTCGGGATGGAGGAGAGCCAGCCTCTGGGGCGGGAGCCTGGCCCCGAGGGCTAGCCCCTCTTCGCCCGCTGAGCGGCCTGTGGCCCTTGCCTCCGCCCCCCCCTCTCTCCTT